TTTCAGATTTCTCAAGATCCCTGTTGCAGGATGGAGCAGAAGTCTTCCAATGTGGATCTCTTGATGCTGGCTATTGAATGCTGCTTTCCACGATTCTCTACGATGCTTCCTTTGAAAGGTGATTTTTGCAGGATTTCTTCGATGCTTTTTGTATTTTTCAGATTTCTCACGATCTCTGTTGCTGGGTACGCGGAAAATCATATGGAGTTTACTTTAGATGCGGGCGAGGTTGTTAGGTTATAGAGGGTGCTCCGACAAGATCTGTTGGAAGTATGATTTCTCTTATTTTTGTGTGATTTTTAGTAGTTTTTTTTGCTGCTTGCATTTGGTTTGAGTGATTCCTATGGAAATGTCGTAGAATTGATGTCTGCAGTGTGCGCAGTATTGATGAGTGTGGTTTAGGAACGTATTTTTTTTTCTTCAGAATTACGGCCGTATACGGTCGGTCACGATGTTGGTACGGTCGTTTACGTTGCAGTGTTTGGCCGTGTCCTGTTTATGATACGGCCGTACACGGTCGGACACGGGTTCGAAACGGTTGGTGTGTACTACCGTATACGACACGGCGATATACGGCCGTAATACGGCGCATACCAAAACGTTAAAATACGGCCCATATACGGCCGTAAATTCGGCGTATACGGCCGTGTACGTCATCGTAAACGGCCGTTTACGGCCGTATCTAGTCGTCGTAATGCTCGACCTGGGATGATACGTCGGAATAAAATCTTGTGCAGCTATCATTCGATAAATAGGGCCACGAGTATCATATGCAGCAAGATTTTTATCACGATTATTAACTTGTACATTAAGTTTCATCGATCCAATAAGCGATATAAATTCACTATTAACCAAGGGAACCTTATTTAATGCACATGACTTGATTTCATCACTCTGGAGTTGCTGTAATTCACCTTCATGTGCAATATTATTATTAACTACTGCTGTAACTTAACATGGTGATAGAATATTTGTAATTGTCGAAGAGTTAACATTTGGTATATTATCGACAGTATTGTCAACAGTTGAATTTTTAATTGATTCAGTATTGATCGATTCATGAGATGATGATTGCTCGAGTAAAACAACAATATCCGGTTGTTGATAAACATTTGAATTCGATATAGGTAACGGTAATGGTTTAATTTCAGGAGTAGGTAGAGAATGTGTATTTGAATCTGATGAACTTCGATTCATAACTGATGATAAATTAAGACCTGGTGCGGATGACGCATAATTATGAGGGTGCACTACTGATTGTTGTTGTTCAACTGTAAATAACGTTTGATTAACTGATGTTTTAAAAACTTCGAGAATTTCTTTTTTAAATGTAGACCAATCGGGAATATTTGATTTGTGTAAACGGAACCATGTGTCAGCAGTACCTGTTAAATACGATTGTACAGCTAAATATTTATTACATGGTTTTAATTGTACTCGATCAAATATTTCTTCCGTATCTTGTAACCATTGATTAACATCTTCATAACGAGTACCAAAAAACATAGTAAGTGCTCTAATTTGTTCTTGAACGAAAATCTGCATGTACTGTTCGGTCATACTTTTTAATAACAAGAATTATAACATATACACTGGCGAGAACAATAAGTTGAGGATAACGAACATAAAGATCACAAATAAATCTTGATATAGCATAAATATCAAATACGACGGGGACCAGGAAAAACAAATTAAATCGAGGGAAAAACAAAATATCTTATCGTGTTCGACGAATTGTGGTCGAAATTGTATCACGATACGGGTCACGGCACCAATTGTTAGTCTGTGGACTAACCAAACCTTTATTGTACCATCTTCGATCCGAACACAACACTACACTGACTCTCTCTCGAACACGAACACATCACTCGCCTGGTCCACTGACCAATGACGAGATAGAAGAAGAAGAGAGAGAAAGGAGGTAGTGTACGTAGATATCGCCACTACCTAACAATTCCTCTATTTTAAAAATAGCAGGGCAGGGCAGGATCGGGTTACAAAAAATTTACAGGGCAGGTTACAGGGTATAAAAATCCTGCACCCTGCAGCTCTCTAGCCACAATCCTCGATAACCTAGCTAATAATACTAACCAATATCACAGATAGCATACCTGATAGTTTCGAGCATAGATACTGTGTATCTGGCGCAGGCGAGTTTGGAATCTAGTTGAGATTGGAATATCATTTTTCTCTTGTATAATAAAATTCATGGTGATTCATAAGAGAGAATGTTGATTGGTTTCTCATATTTTTTCAGCTTATTTGAACATGAAGATATGTGAAAAATATTTCTCTATCTATAAAAGGCGATAAGTAATTCTTTTTTTGATAATGAGGAGATCTGATATTGAATTATTTGGTTAGCATTA